CCCTTTCTCTTTAAAAACCAGAGTTTTGTACAAAAAGTTTCAGAAACTTCTAGGCTGGGCATAGGGAGGTGACGCTTACTCTTCCACAGTGGCCATTGGGTGGGTAGAGAGTGAAAAGATGGCAAAAAGGAAAACCTACCTCTATTTCCTTATGTCTTTCTCTTTTCTCTCTCTCTCATTCTCTCTTTCTTCACTGAAATAAGGGAATACATCTAATTATAGAACACGATGAGTCCTCCTTCATCTAAATATCAATGTAATGGCTTAAGGCAGACATTGCCAAGGTGTCTCAAACCACTGAATCTGAGAGCCCTGGGATCATTTTTGTAGGCATATTTTAACTTCCAAGAGTTCAACACATACTACATAACTAACGGAGCTAAGCAATGAAAAAAGACAGCCTCAGTCTCTGGAGAACATCTTTAGAAGAACATGGTAACTAGGGTACTAGGTCACTGCAAAGCTACTTCTGAAAGTAAGTAAAGTAGACAAAGGAGAAAATAGCCCATGTAATATTAATGCATATTGCACTCCAGAAAGAAATGTGCTCCAATTGCAGTGCCTCCGTGACCTGCTGCCCTAATTTATACGCCCTTGGATTTTCGCGCTCCCAACCATCGCCATTGGTTTCTGCCCTTCTCTGACGTGTTTGTTTCTCAAAATTGTTGACTTCACCTTTTTCAGAAAGTAGAATCAACAAGATATATTGGAGTAAAAAACAAAACAAAGTTGAGTCAATGGGGGAGAAACTGCTCCACTGTAGTTGAGGGAAGACTGCAAATGCCTGACATCGCACTGGGGAGGAAAAAAGCACTTGCCTCGAGTTCTTCAGTGTGGGTTTGTCAAGGGCTCAGGGAGCTCTGAGTCCCCACCCTGACCCAAGGCAGCAGATGCTTTCACTACTCACTAGGAGTACGGCCTTTGAGGATTCCCAGAGAGCAGAACGGGTGACGAGAAGAGCTCAGAGAAGAGCACGAGGTCCTTCCACCCCAACAGGAATTCCAGAGCCCAGGCACAGTATGCAAATGCTTGGTGTATTTACCTTTATGCAAAATTAAGCATATTTGTCAAACTGAAAAGTCATTATTGACTTAACTATTGTGAAAAGCTAAGCACCAAATTATGAAAGATGATTTAAAGTAAAAATATAGCAGACAAGGCCCCAAAACACCTTATACTGTACCATGTGATCATGTAACAGGCCCCAAAAACCCAAGCCAGGACATATGCTGCCCCAGAAAACTGACAAGGCTCTGGAAAGTAGCACTTGCCAAGAAAAAAATGTTCCACTGAAATCGTTATTCAACTTATGGTAGCATATGCCATTTCCTTTCAGCCTCTGTAATTTCTTTGTCATTTGGTTTCTAAATGAGCACAGCTGGTCAGACATTTACAACTGTTTTATTCAGTTGTAAACCATCAGCTGGAGCATAATGATAAAGGTCACGTGTCCACCTCCAAGTGTTCTCCAGTATGACCAGGTCCTAGAGGAACCTCCTGCTGAAGGAGGCTTCCCTGATGGAACAGGGAACCATGGTCTGTTAGGGAGAGAGAGCACATCCTAAGACAGAGCTCTTCCTTGTGGAAGCTAACCTGGTTTAGGTTTATTTATGTTTCCATGTAAATATGGTCATAAAACGTAATCCATGCAATTTTAGATTAAGTTTATCTTCTAATTTACGGGAAAAGTAAATGTCACATAATTTGCATCTCCCTTGCTCAAAGATGTCATTATTTATTACTCCTTGCCTTTCCTTTTTAGTTAAACTAATCAAGATGAACTTAAAAGCAACGATGCCTACAAGAACAGGCACTCGACGAATAGTTGACTGATGGAAAGAAATAAGAGATCCAGAGAAACTATATGCATGATGAAAAACATTGATTAAAACAATATAGTGAGTCTGGTGTTTTAGTTTCCTTAACAAGCAAATGCACCCATAAAATCAATTTTTACTTTATTGTATAGAAAATGCGGGTAAATATAAAGCAGTTGAAAATAAGGATGTATATGATTACAGATAGAGGAACAGAGAGAAATTGAAAGGTTAGCAAAAGAAACAGGAAAGGATAAAGAGAAGTGGGCAATGTATGACCTAGGAAGCTCTAAAGAGCAGAGGGAGGTACGGCCGCGAGGAGGGCTGAAGCAGATAGTAGCTTTCCGGTTCATCACTTCCTCTCTTTCAAGGTTCCATTTTCATTCTGGAAAGGTTTTTTGGGTGAGGTGAGCTTTTAAGTGAAGGATTTGGAGAAAATGGTGAGGCTGGCTGCCAGAACAGAATCTCAGTCTGGAGCAGCAGGGCACAGGCGCGCTAAAAAGAAATGAAGGAGGGCAGAGGGAGCTGGGTGGGCTGGGCTGGAAGGAGGCAGGCAAGGAGACGCGCTGTGGCAGTTCATATGCAGCCGCCTCAGGGGATGGCAAGCTTAGTAATAACCGCGTCACAACACAATTCAACACTGAGAGAGAAAGATGCTGTGAGGAATTTAAATCAAATAAAAATAAAGACCATCAAAGTGTAGAGAGAATAAGTGTATTAAAACAAGAAAGCTACCCTACCTCTATCTCCTGCATTACATTGTCATTAAACTTCCTTGCTCTAAATTCTAAAGATATTCTGACCGAGGGACTACTTGCAACCTTCGTATTTCCAGAAATACCACAGATGATGCAAAGTTTCCCATCAGGAACTAGAAATTTTTATCTTCCTGTCATCCTTCAGGAAGTGATAAAAATAATCATAGCTTGTTTTACTGAATACTTCCTATTTGGCAGTCACTGTCTTGGGCACTTCACACATGAACTCATGCTCTCCTCAGAACACCTCTATGCTAATTAATTTATTATCCCCATTTTTGGCTGATGAAAATGAGGTACAGAGTAGTTAAGTAGCTCTCCCAGAGTCAAGCGACTAGTAAGCAAGAAAGCCTGGATGCAAACCCAGATAACCCAGCTCCCGAGTCCATGTTCATGACCAATACATGTGCCTGTCTCCCAAGATACGAGCGCCAACACTGAATAAGACCTTGGACAATTTTGCAGTGACTTCCAAGGACCCCGTTGTCATAGACAGACGGGACACATGAGTGCAAATTGAGTGGTTTCCACTTCTATGAGGGGAGTGATGTGGAGACAGGTGCTCACGTGCTTGTGCCTTGGAACTCCGGGGAAGCTGGCTCACTTGCCATTCATATTTGATTCATTCATGAGAACGTTATCCTAGTCCTAATTTTTAGAGAAATTGTTATTGCTGTTTCACGTCTCTCCCCAGAGTTTGGCACCTAGTAGTTTCTTTATAACTCCTAGTTTGCTCTCAGATTTAATTTTGAAATGATAGGACCGTCTCTTACAGATGCATAAGATGGCTAACCAAGTACCCAGTGTTTATAGAATCTTGTCTCTATAGGTTAGACCTTAAACTTATCTGAATTTTCTAATTACTGCCATTTTTTTTCCCTGAAGCATGATAATAGGTTTCTGGATTTGCCATTTTGTAACATATGTTTCCCTGTGTTTGTCCTTTCGTGAGCACTATGATCCATTGCTGATTTACAAGGTCAAATTCACCTCATGGTAATGACAGTAGAAGGGACGGAGGTTAGGAAGTGGAAGAGAGGAAGAGTAGTAGGATTTGTGCTAACTGAAAAAATATATATATATATACATATTCTGAATAGAGAAATGATATCTGAGCAAATGGCTTATAAAAGACTCTAATCTTTCATGAGAGGGAAAAATGCTGATGCTGATAGGAATGCATTTTCTTTTAATAATTTGTTAGAGGTCTTCTCGTTGATGGCAGTATTCACTGCTTAACGCTTTGTGATTCTCTGGCCCTCCATCCATCCTTGTTTTGATAATTTCTGAGCACAATGTGGCATCTTCTTTCTTGGTTCCAATAAACTGCAGTGCTTGCTGCTCATCCTACTTAACAAGAGTTCTTATCCTTTGATAAAAATGAATATCTCAGTGTAATAGGCAGTCTAAGCCCCTAAAGATATCTTAGGTTGAGGCAAGAGAAACTTACAAATGAGGCAATAAAAAATAAATTACACAACATTAAATTTACTAAGTAAGCAAGATGATAGAGTCCGAAAACCAAAGGTGCTGAGTGAGCAAGCTTGCACCTCATTCAGCGCTGAGCTCGGATGTGCCCCGCATGCTAATTCCACCGTGTGTAAGATGCATTACGGAGACGGCATTTGTTATTGGCATTAGTTATTCAGTTTGTACGACATTTTTCATTACTAGCCTTCTCTTTTCCAAAACCTATAACTCAGTGGTAAAAATTTATATCTTCCGTTATTTTTATAGGGCCAAATTTGGCATACAAATTCTAGTGCTTAAAGCGGAATGTTATTTCAGGAGAAAATTGGGCTGCATTTGAATAAACTCTATTAAATATTACAGAAGGTTACTAGTTTTACCATTAAATCTAAGGATGAGAAAAACAGTTGATACCATGGAGAATAATATTTTTATTTCTGTGTGCACCGTACAAACAGACTTGCAACCATATAAAAATACTGATCTGGCAAGTTGGGAGCCCCCAGAAGGTTCAATTCCCTTTTGGATGCTCAATGGGAAGGTATTTATGGGAAAGAGGAATCTAGAAAAAAGGCTTACAATATAGCCTTCATGTTTTAAGGAAAGCCAGGAGACATGTAAATGTGAACAGTCCCCAAGTGAAAACAGAGGTGAGATGGATCCCATCACTTGGTTGGTACCTAAAGATGCAGGGCCAGGTGCAGGTGTGCTCACGTGCTTCCAGTGGACAAACCTGTGTGTGGGGTGACCTTTCCCTTGTGAGCCGAGGTCTACGATGTCATCATCAGACAACAGGTCATTGGCCCAGGACAACATTTCTCAACATTTTAAAACTCAAGCCCACTTTTGATACCCTGGATAATCTTGTCATTGCCCTGACTCTAATTTTCTCCCACAATGCTCTAGGTTGAGTCATATTAAAATGGAAATATAATGGCCACCACAAGACAACACATGACTTGTCAATTCTTTACTTCTTATTCATTAGTAATTAATTAATTAGTAATTAAATATATTAGATCTTCCTCTAAAAGCAAGTTTTAATTAGAGGGAAAGGAATTCCCTTTCACTGATGAAGCATTGATTTAAGTACTGTATTAGAGGTTTGTTCAGTGTTGATGACATAGAACGGAGTGATTGATTGTGCTTTGGAGGGAAATAAGGGACTAGAGGAGAATAAGAATAAAGCGTTATCGGAGAAGCTTTGAGAGGAAGGCACGCTTTAGCTAGGCTTACAAGGAAGCATACGAGTTTACTAAGAAATTAATTCGCACTCTGAGTGGCATAATGGTTTTTCCTGGATGTCCCCGAGAGTCTCCAACCGAGCTGACTACCTGGAACCACACATTGACCCACATCCAACCTGCTCTCCTTGATTTCCCCATGTTGATTTTTGGTGTCATTAATCAACCATATCAGGTCTTGAAACGGAAAGTTGGCTTTGATTCCTGTTGCTCCTTTACGCCTCACATCACAAAATCTCCAGGAGGAATTCATTTTACTCAAGAAATGTCAATTTGATCCATTCCCTCATCTTCTCCATGCCAGGTCCATGTTAACTTTCTCTTGGAGAAGTTACACCACATTCTTTACTGCAAGTCTCTTCTTAGCAAGGAACAGGTAACATATCCTTAGCCCCCAGCTGCACTGAACTGTGCTTCAGGCCTGCCCTGCACTGATCACGCCCCTGCCTTTGCTCCTGTGTTCTGCTGTAGGGTGTACGTGTGCTTGTGCATGTGTGCACGTGCACACACCCACACGCGACCTGGAAATTCCTCCCCTTTGCTTTAATTCAGTACCCCTCAGTGGAAAACTCATATTCATCACTCCAATCTACCTGAAATGTTACCTCTATAATTTTTCCTACTTCTCCTACTTACATCTTCAATAGAACACAGTACAATGAATTGTAACAAGTTATTTGAACAAGCTGAACAGAGTAGGATACAAGCAGAAAGCAACTTGATTTTTTGTCCTTAACGCCTTTTTAACATGAGCTTTTGAATACAGTTTTTTCCCTTTATTCTTCTGTATAGTCTTGGGGAGATCCTGTAGCTTTTCCACTCATTCTCAAGTTTTAACAAATGGTGTATGCTTGTAGAAACTGAAAGTCTAGACAAATCAACTATCAGTAATTGATTCTGTCATTCAACACAAAGCTTAACCCTTCTTATCATTCAGGCCACATGGGGGCTTCAAATTCTACCAAGTGCACGGGTGGTTGGTTTCTTCTCTCTTCTTTGCTCCTCTTTCTCTCTCACTTAGTAACTACTTATTTAGGCTACTGCTTGTTTGGGGGTGGAGAGCACAGGGGAGTGAGAGTGACAGTAGTGAATTCAGCGGAAAGTTCTAGTGTCACATGGCTAATGCGGTTGTATTCTGGAGTTAAGGCCAACTGTGTATGTCTGATGACCAAACGTTGGTTCTTTCTTTGGTGGGGATTTGGTGGGGTCTTCAGAGAGCCACCCTGTCCTTCCTCTGCCACCGAGACCATCTTACTTTCATTCCCTGAACAAGCTAAGCTTCTTCCAGCTGGCCATAAATGACTCCCTTCACCCCTGGCTTATGCCCATCCCCCCAGCAGGATCGTCCTCCAATCCTCACCTTGCCCCTCAGATGATCAACTGGGTGGATGATTTTTAAAACAAACTTTTAATTTTAGAATAGTTTTAGATTTATGGAAAAGTTGTAAAGACAGTACAGAGAGTTCCCCTATACTCTATATCTAGTTTCCCAAAATTGTTAACCTCTTACATTAGTATGGGACATTTGACACAACTAATGTGCCAACATCTAAACTTCATTATTAAGTAAAGTCTACTTTATTCAGATTTTCTTATTTTTTTACTCAATATCCTTTTACTGTTTCAGGATCCTATCTAGGACACCACATTGCATTTATTCATTATGTCTCCTCAGGCCCCTTCTAGCTGTGAGGGTTTCTCAGACTTTTCTTGGTTTTGATGAGCTTGACAGTTTTGAGGACTGTTGGTCAGCTATATTGTAGAATCTCTTTAATTGAGATTTGTCTGATGTTCTTTCACGATTACACTGGGGTTACGGGCTTCGGGGGAAGAAGACCACAGAGGTAAAGTGGCATTGTCATCATACGGTATCAAGGGTACATGCTCTTATCATGACTTATCACGGTGGATGTTGACCTTGATCACCTGACTGAGGTTGTGTTTGTCAGGTTTCTCTCCTCGAGAGTGACTCTATGTTTCTCCCTTTCCACCCTGTGCTCCTTAGAAGGAAGTCACTATGTGCAGTCCACACTGAGGGAGGGGGAGTTATGCTCCACCACTTTGAGGAAAGTAGCTACAGAGATTATTTGGAATTCTTCTGCATGGGAGATTTGTCTATTCTCATCCATTTGTTTATTTATTCAATCATTTGTTTATATCAGTATGGACCTGTGGATAATCATTTTATATTTTGGGTTATGAATCTGACAGAATCTTCTTTAAGACAACTCCAGGCTAGTGGTTTTTTGATAGTCCATTAGACCTAGGGAAAAACTCACCCATCTTTGCTCCAGCAAGCCACGGAAGTGTAGGCCATTCCCAATACTGCCTGTGTCTTTGCTTGCACCTCTCTAGCCGGCCTTGTGCTTTTAAATTTTTCAGCTGTGTATCAGGGAACCAGTTCCTACACCCCCCAAATTCCAGGAGACACCTATCACATGGATTTCTTGAAAGCCCCTCCACTTGACCAAGGTATTCTGATGGTTATCTCTAGAGTAGCCCTTACCACGGGGCTCTCGGATCCATTTCCCAGCCTAAACTTAAACAGCCTTGAAGGGATTAGTGAGCTAAGCGTTATGAAGGCAGCTTTACACACACGTAGCCTCTTCTGCATAGCTGATCTGTCACTTGTTCTCCAAATTTGAGGGCATTGCTCCCCAAACTGTAGGAATAGTTGTATTTAGTATCCTGTTATACTGTCACAGTTCAATGCTTCTCAAAGTGGGGCCCTGGACCAGCAGCATCAGCATCATCCAGGAATTTGTTGGAAATGCAAATTCTCAGGCCCCACCCCAGAGCTCCTGGATCAGAGACTCTGGGGCTGGGGCCCAGCAGTCTGTGTTTTAATAAGTCCCACGCCTGATTCTGATGCAAGCTGGAGTCTGAGGACCACTGCAGTTAGTAGCTTGTGTCCCCCACCACCCCACTTGACTATAAGCTCTTTTAGAGCGGTCAATCAGCCTAGCACATAACTTGACACAGGGTGGGAGCTCAAACAATGAGCTGCAATTTTATTCTGTATTATTCCCTGCTGTTGGAATGGCACCGTGTTATTTTCTACGGGCAGTATTAGCTCCTTGCTGTTGTTGGGCCCTGGGAGCTTCCTCATCCCTTATGAGTTCCTCTCAATTCTGCCCACACCTTTTATTAAAATCTCTTTAGTTAAAACTTTTTGAGTGTGCCATCTGTTTCCTGTCAGAATCCTGATGGATACAATGCCCTAAGGGTATATTGTTTCCTAAAGGACCACGAAAGGAATGCTTATTCCAAAGAAAGAAACTACTAATGCTGTACTTTTAGGCTTTGGTTATTCGATGGTGAAGAACCTCCCAACACTATTCTAAAGAAATAGCTGACTTTATTGTCTATGTTCTGTGTGCCAAACTTCGCTAAGGCCATTATACATTATTTAATTCTCACAATAAAAATCATGAAGTTGTATTATTTCATCTTTATGCAGGAGTCAATTCTCACAGCAGTTGCGACTTTCATCAGATTACAAAGCTAGAAGCTGGGAGCACCAGGACCGGAGCAACTGTCTGATGACAAAATCAGTGTCCTTAAGCCTCCTGTAGGCCCTAGGCATTGTCCCTTTGTGCAGGTCACACTGCAAATACGACATAGGAATAGGGTTGTGGTCAGGCCAGTTGAGGGGCAGAGGAAGAAACACGGGAGAGACCTGGAATGCAGCTTCTGCTTTGTGGAGAAGAACAGAGAACTTAACAGGGGGCCTGATGGTGCCACAGGGAAAGATGGGGTGAGGAGAGAGTTAAGAAGTCAAGGTTAAGGGCATGAATATCACAAGAAGTGTGTGTTTTCAAGGATTAGGTTGTAAAAACAGAAGGAAATGGTACAGTATTGGTAGATGGAGAAAGAGGACATAAATTGACGATATTGCAACTAAATGTCAACAAAAGGACAGTTAAGGGAGACAAATACAAGGATGGTACAGGTTAGTGTTTGGAGAGTGAGTGAGATTAAGCTAATTTGTCAACTCTCCTTGCTAGGGGCAGAGGGTGGCCATCACTGGAATATGGCATGACAGTATGTCCAGGGAAGCAACGACAGACAGGGGCATGAACCATTATTGTGCCAGCTAATGACGCTTCTCCTGAGTACAAATGCTAACCCCCCAAATGGGCACGGTGGATCTCAACTCGAAGTCTACACTGAGCACAGCAAGACATTGCCTTCCACAAACAGATCAATAAGAGTCTGCCTGGAAAAGCACCTCTTAGGGCGTGGTTCGTACAGTGGTAAATAAATAAATGCCTTTTGAGTGAGTGGGAATGTGACTTGTAGCTGGATTGGAAAGTCTGCTTCCTGATCACAGGAGACTGAAACAGTGACGCTTCCTCCGCTTCATGCTGACTCTGTGCTACAGGCCGGGCAGGCCGTGGTAAATAACCCTCATGGAGCTTACACTGTAGCAGGAGGGTCGGACAATGTAGAAGGAAACTTCCAAACCATGGTAAGTGCCATAAGAGAAATAAACAAGATAGGATGGAGAATAATATGGTGGTCAAAGGCCTTGAGGATGAAACATTTGAGCTTAAAGGATTACAAAAACAAAAACAAAAAACACCATTCAAAATATATGAGCATGGCTTTTCAGGTGCAGAGTGCAGGCAGGGGAAAAGCCTCGAGGCGGGGATGCTCTCAGTACCTTCAAGTGTGTGTGCCAGGTGCAGAGCGTATGAGGGGAGCCGGCAGAAGATGAAGTGAGAAAGAAGGATCAATTTGAAACCACGCCTGAGCTTGAAGAGCCTTGGCTCTCCCAGCGCCACCATTCTATGATTCCATCCAACCTGTGGGTCTCTGTAAAAAAAAGATAAAGGTGGATGCACTTCACTTTCTGTGCTGGAAATCAGGTCCTGGTCCTGGCAGGCTGTCCAGGGAGCCCTCACTTGGCAGGTACAGGCTCCCTTGCCTTTATAAATGGGCAGCCTGTAGTCAAGAATTTCCAAATGTGATTAAAATGAAACTGCCGTTGAAATCAGGTTTGGCTGCCTGTCTCTCTGGTACTCAGAAAGAAGAGCCCTCGTGGACCTGGCAGGCCAACTTAGTGACATCGTTTGGAATAGATTTAGGAAGGGCTGCCAGGTAGACAGGAGATTTCAATAACCGTGCCACCAAATTAGTAATTAAAGGAACTGCGTCCTGGGGATGCACCATGAAAAACCCTGTGACCTCTCGATAGTTGAAGTCATTTAGATAAAGGAGCTCCAGAAACAGTGCTTCCCAGTAGAAAGCACATACTTTGTGACTCACTCCATATGATCACAATCCCTGGAGACAGACCAAACACTGTTCATTGAAATCAGAAAACGATAACTCCCAATAGTTCTTTTGGCCATGTCTGCTCTTGGACAGTTCAAAAGGGGGAAAGATTGGCCCAAAACGTCCTATATCAGCAGACAAGTACAGATAAAATACATTTTCCTGGATGGTTTCAGCCTGAATCCAAGGCTAGCAGACCAAATCTCGACAATTTCCTCTCAGTGGTTAGTTGCACCATGGAAGAGATGGTTCCAGAATGATAAACAAAGGTGATGCTTTAAGTAAATGGACTGTACCTGCTGGTGAGAGTCTGCCAACCCACAGCCACCACGGCAGCCGCACGCTCCCTCCGTGGCTTGTTTTAATTGAAACTGATGGAGCTGTGGAGCTAACTGGGTTTTGCATAAATCATCGTCGGTAACACACTTTCAAGGGTAATCACAACATTAGTATACCAAGCAGGAAGTGAAATAATTAAAATTTAGCACAGTGCAGTATTGAAGTTTCCAAAATTAATCTAAAGCACCTTTCCTCAGTACAAATGAGCAATCACTGCAGTCCATAGAAAGGGACATTCAAAGAAATACTACGTTATATACACCATCTGCAACAAAAAATTTCCGCTTTTCGTCCTACATTGCAAATCATCTGCTTATATTTTCATTCCTTTTTCTTTCTTCTCTGGTGGGGCTGGGTTGTTTTTTAAAATTTGTTTTACCTGCCTTTAAGCTAAATATGTGGCATAAAGCCATGCAAAATAGAAATCCTATAAGTCTGTGAGTGTTGGCAAGAAAAATTGTTCCCATATGGCCGTTAGGCAGACAATTCCAGTGCAGAGAGTGAATGTGGATATGTACAATGGGGAGAAACCTGTGGTGATGAGCATCTCATTTCAATATATCTGCATAGAAGGTAATAAAATATCCAGGCTGGAGGCCTGCAGTGCGTCACAGGGCTAAGATATTCAGTGGCACTAAATGGCTCACTTGCCCTGATGAGGTGAGTATCTTTAACACTTGGTGTCTTACAAAAGATAATAAGCAAAAATAAGTTCTTTGGTGTGATACACAATCTCACATGCAGACAGCTTGAGAACAGCGATGTTTTGCAGAGGACCATACCCCAGTGTCCTAAGACCTAGAACACCTTGACCTAGAAGCACAAAATAGCTATTGTGGAAATTCCTTTCACCAAAACATTGAGAAGAGGCTCCCTCCAATGGACAAGATCCCTGGTACCCAGACAGCATCTCAGATAAAAGCCAACCCTCCCCTGAACTGTAAAGCAGGTAAAGTCAGCCTTTCGCGCCTCCTGACTCACCTGGGGTTGTTTCCTTCCTCCTCAGTATCACTTCTTCTATAGGCAGTTAGAGATCTCCAAGGCTCTAGAGAGAAAAGGAAACAATGAGTTCCCATTTCCCTTGTAAGAATTACTTGAACAGGTCATTTCACGCAGACTTCGTTAATGAGAGGGACCCCTAAGAAGCATGTCCAAAGGCGGTGTTTCAGTCACTAGGGAAGAGGAGTTAGCGAGAGACAGGGTAGTGCCCCCAGTGTCTCTTACAGCACGTTATTCAAATCATACTTCCCCTGCTGCTTCTATGTAAAGCCAAACGTAAAGCCAATTCTTAGAACTTATCATTTGAAGCAGACACTGCCATTTCATACATTGAAAAATCCTCTATTGGGTTTGGCTACCCTCAAGTGATGGGATACGTGAGAATAAAGACAGAGTAAGGAGAGCTGTCAAAGTCAGGTTTCTGAGGATCACCTGCTGCAGAGAACTCCCAGCAAACCATAACCAGAAAAACTGCTTCATCTGGAAAATGGTAAAAGCCCCCATCAAATTATCTTATGCATTTTTGAACGAAATTTTTCTCTTGCATATTCTAAGTGCAACTCCTCCTGTTACTAGCAGAGAGCCCGAATGTGAACAAGCCCCACTGAAATTCCACAGGCACAATCTAAGCACAAGCTGGTGCCAGTGTCCTTGATCAAAGCTCAGTATCTTTAAATATCTTTGCAAGGCTTACTTGGTATATATCCAAAAGCTTTTGCTACTATTAGATATCCTGTCTCAACTGCCTGGAATTTTCAGGGAGAAGAAAAATTTAGGGAATACAGGCGCCTTCTATTCACATCAAGTCAGGATATGTTGATTGAATGCCCATGAAGGAGGAAAAACGGAGAGAGGAAAGAGGAAGAGGAAAAGAAACAAAAGCTCAAGCAGAAGGAAGAGGAGAAGGAGGAGGTGAAAGGGGCCGAGGGAGAGGGAGCCGGAGAATAGGAAGAACAAGGAATCAGAGTGAAACTCTATTCAGCTTCACCGAGCTGCATTACTGTGAATGTCCTCTCCGCCACCCTCGGACGCTTCTTTAGCACCACCCACCCTCCACTCCTGGGGAGATACTCCCTAGACACACTCACTAATGCTAAGGAGAAGCCACAGTATTTCTAAAACTTTCACCATTTGGTTCCAAAGTAGCCAACTATCAGAGTAGTTTTAACCAAGGATCTAGTTACTTCCTTTCCAGGAAATGTACAAAATGTCCTATTTATAAATTACTGTGATGATACAGCGAGAGACATTTTGCTTCCAGATTTTATTTTGGTTTTGATCATGTTGAATTTTGATAACTTTGTCATCAAGCATAGTTAAGAAAATAATGTAATTATGGAGTACATAGTACAGGTGAAATGTAATTATTTGGACTCCCAGGAAATGAGCTCTTACAAGCAAAGTAGCAACTTGAAGGAAGATCAGGAAACCATGCGTCATCCTCCCCTGATTTAGTGTGATGCCATCTGTCCTGGGCTGAATCCAAGCAAGCGACCAGCCAGCCAGGAGGCTAAATGCAGGAACAATGGGTTGCAACCCCAAGAACATCTGGTCCCTTGTGTAGCCAAGGTAATTCCATAAATGGTTAGAGCACATGGGCCTTCAGAGAAAATCTAAAAAGTCAAAAGTTTAATACTTTCTCCTGCCAGCTGAACTTCCCTACTTTGGCTCTCTCTCACAAGAAAATATAAGGCTTGGCCTATAATAAAATAGTTTCTATAGACCGTTTGTGTCCCCCGAAAATTCATGTGTTGAAACCTAATCCCCACTGTGATCGTGTTTAGAGGTGGGGCTTTTGGGAGGTGATTAGGTCAGAAGAACAGAGGCCTTGTGAATGAGTGGTTAAGTTCACGTGCTTCACTTCAGTGGCCCAGGGTTTTGCCAGTTCGGATCCTGGACGCGGACATGGTACCGCTCATCAGGCCACACTGAGGTGGCACATGGCACAACCAGAAGGACCACAACTAGAATATATAACTATGTACTGGGGGTCTTTGGGGAGAAGAAGAAGAAAAAAAAGAAGATTGGCAACAGATGTGAGCTCAGGTGCCAATATTAAAAAAAAGAGAGAGAGAGACCCTAGAGAGCTCCATTGCCCCTCCCTCCATGTGAGGACACAGCCATGTGAGAACCAGGAAGCAGGTGCTCACCAGACACCATATCTGCCGGCACCTTGACTTTGGACCTCCCAGCCTCCACAACTGTGAGAAACAAACATTTAAGTCACCCAGTCTATGGTATTTTGTTATAGCAGCCCAAACAGACTAAGACAATAGTAATTAGGGAAGTAAAGTTCTCTAGTAGACAATGTATAATTTGTGGAACTGGCACAGTATAGTGCACAAAGTCAGTGTTCAACTAAATAAGGGTATTGACCTGTTAATTCTGGACCAACCTGAGACTGGACTGAGGATGGATTCCAGCCTAGACCAGACCCAGAGATTACAAACAGTTCTGAGTTTTTCCTCCCCTAAAGCCAGGGAATTTTAGAAGCTAGTTCAGAGACCTCGTCCTCAAGGGATAGCCCCAAAGTAGGTGGCTAGACAAAGCTGGAAAGGGTGGGATGCCAGATGTGTTTGCCGTCAGATAAAATTAACATTTGTGCCAAAATTTTAAGTAGTACCCTGCCTCGGCTTATGCAGACAGCAGAAGTACAAGGGATGTGGAAAAAGAACGAGCAAAGTGCCAGACATCGTTGGAGCATTTATTGAAGGCTCCTCACGTGTGATGCAAATGAGTTTTCCTTTGGGTTTTGATCTTAGTTTCACCTAAAATGGAAAATGCCTTTTTATTCAGCTTGTTTTCATTTTTTTAACTTATTTTGTAAATATTTTATGACATTTAAAACACTATATAATGAGGACTCTATGCCTCCTACAGCAGAAAATAATTAATAATACTTGGCACTTAATGGCACTTTTCATCATTAAATCTCTTTGTAGACATTAATTAAGGGAACGATACTTCATCTTTTTAAAATTGCTGTTAGGCTCCTGTCATTGCATTTCATGAATATCAGTTGCAATGGGAAGAGAAATACGTAGACTCCAAAATACAAAACTGCCACAGGTTTGCTTTGACGGGTAAAGATCAGCCTTTACGTGCTTTCCTTTAGACTTTGTCCCTTCAATTAGATTTGCAAACAACTTTTATTCATGGCTCCATCTTAAAATCTATTTTTTCTTTGATTACCACTACTGAGATGTTATATTAAAAAACAAATATTTTATCAAGTATTTTGAATTATTCAAATGTAAAAGCTCCATGAATAAAGGCACCAAAAGTACTCATGTTTGTGGAGAGAGAGTTCAGTTGGCAATCAGCGCAGCCCCCTGCTCCTCCTCCCTAGAAAGTGGAGGTTCATTTGGCAAGAGCGATGACCCTTTGATCTTCTTCCTTCCTCCCTCTAAAGGGACAAACTTGTGCTTACATCCAGGGCCAAACTTACAGCCTTTATTCAATGGTCCTCTTCCTCCAGAAATCTCTCCTTGTTTGTTTCCAATCTCTGGAATTTTTAAGATGATCCTTGTATTTCATAATTTGAAGCTATAAACCTTGTTTCCTACTTCTCACATAAGATAGCTGTCAGCAGGCCTGGAGCCTCAACCTCTTTCCTCATTTCCATCCTCACCTGTGTTTGTTACCACACAAAGATGGGGTTCTTCTACATGAGGCACATCAGAAAAAGCCAATTGGTACGGCATCAGCTTTAGGGGAAAGAAAACAGTTTTATTCCTAGATCTGTCTGCGTGGAGACAGAAGGCCTATGGTCTCAGATCTGTCTCCCCGATCCAGGGCTTAGGGCAACATTTATGGGATGAAGGGCAGGGTGCTCTCAAGTGTGGAGATAGCTGATTGGAAGTAAGGAGAAGTGAGCTAATTGACGATCTGCGCAAGCATAGTCAAGCTTCATGGCTCTTCATAGGACACACATTCACAAAATGGTGGTGTTAATATGATCTAAGGGTAGAGTTGTCAGCCCCTTGACGTCCAAAAGGTCATTTATTGGGCGTTTGTGCAGGCCCGGTTGATGGGCTGGTGGTCTCAACCAGCCTGAACTGGACAAGCGGGACTCTCAGTTCCTGAAAGACAACTCTTAATTACTCTGTTGATAAGATGGGGTCAGTTGAACTGGTCCTCGTAGGCCTGTGGTTACATAGTTACCTCCCTCACTTCTGTCATGGAGACTCACTCCTGTCTCACCCAAACTCATTCTTCCATCTACACTGTGCTTTCCTTTCATTCCTCCGGCAATCAATGTCTTCTTTAAGTTTGTCTTTAACTTTTCCCTTCCTACTGACTCCTTGCAGGAATTCCTTGAATGCAAACCAAATCTGGTGTATGCATCCCCTCTAGGTACCAGCTTGTCCTTCTTTTTGTGTTGGGATTCCTACAAGAGTAGCCTTCTACACGGGTGGCCTACGTCATTGTCTCCATTTTCTCTCCTCCCATTCATTCTTGAAATTATACAAACTTTTCTGCTCTCGCAACTCCACTAAATACGGCCTTGCCACCCTGCAAGAAAAACCAACGATCATCTAATTGCCAGCTCCGTTAGATGCCTTCCACTCAACAGCTCCTCCCTGGGCTCCTTCAATATCATTCTCTCCTGGTTCTCCAAATACCTATTGAATGCTCCTTTTTTTTTTCCCCAGTGAGAAAGATTGTCACTGAGCTAACATCTGTGCCAATATTCCTTTATTTTATGTGGGATGCCACCACGGTGTGGCTTGACAAGTGGTGCTAGGTCTGCACCCATGACACTGAGCTGCTGAAGAGGAGCATGGAAACTTACCTATAAGCCACCAGGTGACCCCTTGAATGCTCCTTTTCAGTCTTTTTAGGGATTTTCATCTCCCTAAATGTTAGCGTTTCCAAGGATTCTGCCCTATGAGTTCTAATTGCTGTCTTCACTCTCTCTAAGGACTTCATCAGTCATAGGCTGCAACTACCATCTGCAACCATAGGTTCAACATGTTATACCCTTCTGCTCTCTTTTTCGACACCCTGTTTCCTCTGCCTTGGGTGTCATTCATTCTTGGTCAG